ATAATCACTCGCTTCATTACAAATCAAAACTTTCAGCACTTTTTCATTGAAAATATTCGCGGCCAACACGGAACGAAAGCGAATTTCTCTGCAGCACGGCTTGTAAACGGAATGCTTTTGAACTGCGATCAGATGCAGCAAAAACATTATTGGGAATGTTCACTATTCAAAAAACTCATCAATCATGGTGACTGGTACTCATTTTTTGAAAAAAATCGTGGAAAATCTATCAGATGGGAATAAGCGATTGAAATCAATCGAATACACATCGATCTAATATACATTGATCTAGGGAAACAACGAGTGGACCAACCAAGCGTTGACGTTCTTTGCGTTCCGCATCTTGTCTCTCGAACTCGAGACGTTCTTGCTCTTTGCGCAGATTCTCGATTCGCTCCTTCTCGATCCGTTCAGCTAAACGACGTTGCGTCTCGCGCTCGTCAGCTTTTCTCTTCAACTCGGCCAACATTTCGGCATCTCTTGAAAACACATATTGTTAATCTCAAACGATGCAACTAAGTCTCGATGAATTTCTATTGATAATATTAATCATTCATTTGCGATGCATAATTATGAATGCATAATCTAGCTTATATGCATAATATTATAAATTTCTTGAATGTTTCAGATTAAATGTGCATAATTTTGATAAGATCGCCATGACAGTGTGATCAAACATTGTATCCAAAAATCACAATTAGTTGTTTCTGCACTTCAGAAGTGACAACACTATAAAGTTCCCCACCTTCGTTCCTGCTCTCTACGGCGTCTTTCTCGATTCTCTTCTTCAAGACGTTCAGCTTCATGTAATTCAGCTTCTCGTCTCTGAGCCTCAAGCAACTCTTGTTCGATTCGTAACAACTCCTTCTTCTCTCTAGCGATTCTCTCGTGCTCCAGACGCTCTCGTTCCAGTCTTTCAGCTTCTTCACGTTCCTTCTCCTTCTCGATCCTCTCACGCTCCTGTCTTTCACGTTTGATCCTCTCAATTCTCTCGATCTCCAGTCGTTCAGTCTCGATTCGCTCTCGTTCTCGTCTCTCACGTTCCTGTCTTTCCTTCTCAGCCTTTTCCCTCTCGAGACGTTCCCTCTCCCGTTCCATTCGCTCTCTTTCCAACTTTTCTCGTTCCTTGCGTTCCTCTTCCAGCCTGAGAGAAAACTTTTTTGAGAATTATTCATCATCGGTCAAGTGAGAAGAATATTGCTAATAATGAGAATCGGACGGAATTCCGGAGAATCTTGACGATATCGAATGAAGTTTGACAAATCATTGAAACATTTTTTTCCGAACTCTCAACAATCTGTGAATTACGGAGAGAAGCAGCATGAATTGAATGTAACTAAAACTCAGCTCATTTTCCACTGTTTATGGAACAGAAATAAAGGTCATAAAAGCAAAGCACAGCCTTTTTTGTTCAGGAAGTCAGCATCGCAGCCTTGGCAAAATAATGCATTTCACTTATGAAACTTCATAATGCAAAGCACCGAAGGTCTAATCGCCGACTGTTTATTGTGGTTAAAATGCGACTGTTCAGAAACAAGACGTTTAGCATCGTATTCAGAACAGCGTCCGAAATGTGGAAATATACTGTATATTGTACCCGATCAACAACGCTCAACAATTATGAAACGAAAGATATCAATCTGGAGAAAAGCACACAAAATACAACACGAAATCCACTATTACCGTATTCTCTCCAGTCTATCCTTCTCTAGTGCTCTACGTTTCTCCAATTCTCTCTCTTCCAACATTCGTCGTTCCTTCTCGAGTCTTTCCCATTCCTCACGCCGTTGCAATTCGGCTTTCTCGCGAACTGCTCTCTCCCTTTCAAGGCGATCGAACTCTTGACGTTCTCGTTCTGCTCGCTGTGATTCGAGTTCACGATGCTGAAANGAGTTTGCATCGATTGGCTCGTTTTGAAAGTCTTGATTTACTGGTGACTGGACGAGTATTGCTGTATGACTGAGAGTTATGTGTTGTAGTATTAATCTGATTCTGTGTGAACAAATGACAGTATGTATGCTCAATCCATTCTCATAATATTTTCACTACAACGATATTGCGATAACGTTTCGGAGAGTTTGCAGCTATTTCTTAACACTTATTGCAAAAGCCTATCGCTAAATCGAAACATACATCGAACAGTGCCCCAAAACTATCAAATTTTTGATTGAAAACTAACTAATACCTTTTTTTCCCTTTCCCTTCGAGTTCTTTCAAAATATTCCTTCTCTTTAATTTCCCACAGTCTGCGCTCTTCCTCTTCACGACGTCTTCTGTCCTCCTCTTCCAATCTTCGTTTCTCTTGATCGTCCTGAATTCGTCTCTCCTCCTCTTCGATATTCTTCACATATTTGTAATTATAATCGACAGTTCGTTCCTCTCGTCCGTTCGGATAATAGCGATCCGTTGACGGATAACGTTCGTGCTCAATGAAAATGGGTGAACTTCTGGAGAGTGGAGGCGCTGATAGTGCCTCGTTTGAACGTGTTATGTACGTTCGTGTCATAACCTGAAAGATTTGAATTTATCGAAGAGGTATTTGATTCGACGATACTCGTCCATACATTCTCGAGAACACAAACAATTCTAGGCATCATGCACTGCTTTCGAAGAGACACTCGCTGGATACGAACACATGACAGAAAGCACCTCTTTACGATAGTATTCCTGTTGATGGAAATTATCATTAGGTGTTGTTGAGGTGCGATACTCAACGGTGGTGGTTGATGAGGGCGGCATTGAGGTGATCATGTCACGTTGCACCGGAATATCACGCATTGTCAAGTGAGAACGAGGCTCTGCAATTCACTTTCTCATTCTTATGGAATCATTCAAAAATGTAGTGTAAAACTTGACTGGTAGCAAACTCATTAACTTTTAACTGGCACAAACTCGAGAATCAACAATTTAAAAGATGCGCGGTTCGATGAATCGGCGACAACTCTAGGAAAAAATACGAAAAATAGATGATATATGGAAATGTGAAAAGAAAATAACCTGATCTTATATCGAAATCGTCGCGAGACATGTCCGTTTCACG